GGGTGGGGAGGGGACACCAGCCAGCTCACAGCTGCTGTGGTGAGATCCCGAAAAAGCCCAGAGCGCCCGGTCACTCCTGCACATGGACACTGGAAAAGCCCCTGCGAGGGAGGAGRAGGACGGAGGGAAGGTCAGGAGCTGCTGAACCCAGCGCAGCCTGACTGATGCTGGAGCCGTGCTGATGCTTCAGGTAACACCAATCCTTGACTGCAGCACCTTTCTAGCAGCTTTGTCCCTTGGCTTTGGGATTTTCTGAGCTCAGTTTTAAGCAGACTGAGGCAACAGTTCCTTCATTTGAAAAAAACCCCTCTGACCTCCACAGTTCCTGCTTGAAACTCTGCAGGGACTTCCCTCTGCTGATGCAAATCAGGTTTTGTTTCCTATTTCTTCTCTCTCACATCTCCTTAATCTGTTCATGTGCAGCAGCTGCAAATACTCATTTTATTCCCTCATGTTTTCACGTTTTAAAGCAAAACATTTTTAGYAATGCCCTGAAGAACCTTGAAGCACCTATTAAAAATAAAATAAAAATACAGTGCCTTGAGTTGACACATGATTAYAACACAGCTCCTCAAACAACCTGCACTGAGATTCCCAGGGCTGTCTTTAGCAACTTTAGTAAATTGGTTCCCACAAAGCTTTTGGTTACAGAGTCCTGGCAAAAAGGATTTCCCTGTGAAGGTGGTGAGGCTCTGRCACAGGYTGCCYASAGAAGCTGTGACAAAGTGTCCCTGAAGGTGTCCAAGGCCAGGTTGAACCTGGGATAGTGGAAGGKGTCCCTGCCCATGGCAGGGGGTGGGAACAAGGTGGGCTTTAAGGKSCCTTCCCCACCCAAACCATCCCATGATTCTGTGRAGAGCTCAGACATGGGAGAGCAGCACTGCAGGGTCAGGTCTGATCTACCATGATCCATAATTTTGGGGTGGTCCCACATTTCCCCCTCACTCTGCACCTGCAGAAATGCTCTGTGGGGAGCCCCGAGGGGGACTGCAGCACCCAGCTCTGAGAGAGGAGGGTGAGGGAGGGTCACTGCTCCTGTCCAGGCTGGGATGGCTCTGTGAGCAGGCAGGACTGCAGCCCTGAGCTTATCTCTGTGCAGGGAACACACGAGTCCYGCTGCAGGAYGGGCAGCACAGAGCCTGCAGGAGATAAGGGCGGGCAGGGGAAGGCCTGGCTCTGCAGCTCAGGACAGACACCATAGCTCAGAAGGAGCTTTGTGACCTGGGAGCTGCAGGAAAAGGAGTTGAGGAATGTGCTGAGCGTGACCACAGAGCCCCCAGGGAGCTGAGCCCACAGACACACAGGGGTGTGCACAGATGTGCTGGCACATCCCAGCTCATCCCTGCGAGAGGGACAATCACAAAGGTTGGAAAAGAACTCCCAARGTCATCGAGTCCAACCTTTGAGCAAACAGCCCCACACCAACTAAMCCAGAGCACTGAGAGCCTGCTCTCCATGGCTGCAGGATCCTGAAGCCTCATGGCTGTGAGGATAGGACAGGGCTGGACCCAGGGCTGCTCATCCCTGCGAGCCACAGCMGCCTCTTCCCAGCCCCTGGGGCTCCCCACGACATTTATCTAGGAACAAAACCTTCCCTGGCACTCCCAGCCCCGCTCATGCAGGATTATTTTTCCTTGTAAGCAATGCTGGAAGCAATGCACGAGGGAYGCATGAAAACTAAGAAGGGATAAATAAAATGTCACTTCAGCCTCCGAGCCTGGACTTGCACACAGCTGAGGGGAGGAGAGAGCTSTGCCCCAGAATGCTGGCAAGGACAGAGACCTGTGCCCTGATTCCTGGGCAAAGGGGTGGCAGCACAGGCAGTGTCACCTTTCCACAGCCTCACTCCCTGCTCCCAGCTTCTGGAGCAAGGGAAGGTTTTTTCAGTGCCTTTCCAATGTCCATCCCCTCTCCCAGGGATCCTGCTCACCCCTGAGGCTCACCCCATGGAGCTGAGCACCCTTCCTGCACAAGCTGATGTTGGGAGTGGGTTCTGGGCTGTCCCACGGAGCATTCCCAGGATTTTAGTCAGGGACATGGCAGCTCTGCCCCTGGCAGGAAGGCCATGAGGGACAGGCAAGGCAAGGGACAGAACCCTTGGGCTGATGATGAACTCCAGCCCTGCTGCCCCTTCCCAGCCTGAAAGCAGCCAGATGCCACCAGCATTTGTCCTCTGGTGGCCTCCACACTGCAGAACAGAAGGGCCAAAGGAATCATGTCCTGCCCTTCCCAGGAGACAGAATCAGACAGAGAGATATGGCCAAGATCACATTTTGGAAAACCAAGCATTATATAGCAAAAACCTTTCAAACACAAGATTTAAGTAATTCTTTTTTTCTACCTCTGTAACAAAGCTACAGTTTTGCCTTTTTCCTTCAGAAAAAAAAGCTCTTCTTTGTTGCTTTTTTTAGCCTTCAAGCAGAAATCCCTGTTTTGGTCTCCCCATGGGTTTGGGGGGATCCTGTCTCTGCCCACCACAGTGCCACCATCCCTGCCACAGCAGAGCACTGCCAGCACTTGGCGTCCCACTGCCTCGAGGCCACATGTGCTCTCAGGAGAGGGGAAAGAAAGTGTGCGCTTTCATTAGAAATAATTAAGACTTTGCCTTTGATAAAAGCCTTRGAAGGTTTCTGCTCACACTGAAACAGCAGAAAAAGAGAGGCACAGCCACATCAGCACAGACAAAGCTCCTCCTGAACAGTGCAGTGGGCGCTGGATTAACCAGCACGGACAAACCACTGAAGGATACTCCAAACGTGGTTTGTCCTTGAGCTCTTCCCCAGGACTGCCAAGACTGGGGTTTTCTGCATCAGCAGCTTTRCCTTTGGTGGATGTCCACCCCCAGAGCACTGGACTGAGGCCTCATGATCAGAGGCCACTTAGCACAGGTGACACAGCCCGTGACAGCTTCTGGCAGCCACCAAGTGACTGCCACCCGCACTTGCCAAGTCCTTGAGTCATCTAATGAAAATGCAGATTTTCCAAAGCCGACTCTGCTGGGTTTTGTGCATATTCCTGTGGGCTTGTGGTCACGATCAGCCTCCCTGCACTGCTCAGCTCCTCCAGCAGCTACTATGGAAACAGGGAGCAGCACCTGTTTCTCAAGGGCAGAGAGTTCAGGGGGTTGGGCTGTTTCAGCCARGATTTGGGAAGCATTGCAAGAAAATCTGTGTTCACTCAGGGTCTGGAGTAATTCTAAAGGTGCTTCACTTGCCAGGAGTCAAAAAGGGACCAAGCAGCAGAGCAGGGACAACCCCCAACTGGTCCCATCATTCCAAAAGAGAAACTTTAAATGGCTCAGCGTGCCAACATCACATTCTTACCAAGCCAATCTTCTCCATAGCAAGAGGCTCCTGAGCTATCTGGGGGAGCACAGCTGATATGGCCTCTGAGGAGGTGTCACATGCCACAGTGAGGGGAGATTAATGCAAAGAATTTAAGGTCAATGGTTCGGGCCAGCTGCTATTTATAAAGAGGAAGGAAAGCAGARCAGGAGTTTCACCTCTAGGCCTTAAGAAATGCTGTCCTGTTCTCCTGTCAAGGAGAACACGCTGGGAGGGGCAGACTTCAATCCATCTTCAGCTTTTCTTCACCTCCAAAGCAGCCACTTTTGGAGTATTCTCCCCTGTCCYAGTGCTGTTCTTGGATTGTCAGAACTCTCCCTCTGACATTGAGGGATGGGGAGGCTGCACCTAAATCCCAACAGTGCTACCCCTAACACGCTCCATGGCACACCAGGGTACAGAAATCCAGGGCATGTGGAAAAGCCTTGGAGCCCAAGGCTTTGCAAAGCCTCTCCACAGCTCAAAATGAGCCCTCCTTGTATACTGAATTTCCCACATTTTTTCATTTTTAAAGGGGACCTACCTAATGTCATTCCCATGTGCAGAAATAGGAAGGACACCTGGCACCGTTACGACAAGATTTAGGACAACATTTTTTGAGGGTGAGTTGAGAAAAGCAATTTCTTCAAGAACTGTTGACAAATRTAAGTAGTTTATAAGGGATATGAAAACAAGAAGTTATCAATTATTTACAATTCCCCAAAAAAGACGAAATGCCCACCAAACAAGAAAATGTTAGTTGYCATCATATCATGTGGTAATAAAAGAAGAGAAAATGAAACATTAGAAAAAGGAAAATTCCCCAAAACATCCTAACAGGAYCAAGAAGAAAAACCCATGCAATCTGCATGTACTCAGCTAACAGAGAGCTGTTATTTCAAATGTGTTATTCACAGAGCAACAAAACCTGATTACATCATTTGGAGCCTTCATGGAGGTCAGATGCATCAAATACAAAAAGTGTTTGGCCACAAAGCCTTTGGGGCTTTCTTTAAAACAYTTGTTTTGCATGTTCAAGTATAAACACATGAGAATTTCACAAATGATATTGAATAAAGCCAAATGCTACAGGGAAAAAGCACAATCTTACCCCTGTTAGAAAAAAAAATTATTCAACAGTAGAATCCAACAAAGCCAAAAAAAGAAAAATCACTAATGCCTCTGGATGGAGGTCACGTGTCTGCTTCYAGGGCCAGAAGTTTTCCCCAGAACCTGAGTTCCATTTTTTGAGTTCTGTAAGATTTACAAAAAGGTAAAAATAGGARAGCTTTTACTTCCCACCTCTTTGCTGAATGTTACTGCCATGGGAACGTGCTCTGCACGCTGCCAGCCTCTTCTCAGATAATTTCCTATTTCTCCACTAAGCCTCTGGCTCACACATGACTCAGTTTTAGCACTTCACTGAGATAAGCATGTGCCCCATCCTAGACTTAAAATTAGCAGGGCAAACCTCAGCCCTTTCTCCAGAGCCTGGGATAATCAGGCATTCTATTAATGAAAAATGTGCTGGTTTATGTCAGGAACCAACTGGAGCTACTGCCTTGGGTAGGCAAGGGATGAACAAGAGAAAGCTGAGCCCGGCACAGGGCTGGTGAACCCACCATAGATCCATCTTCTCTTGATGCAGGGAGATAAACCCTTCCACCACAGAACACATCAAGCCAGATAAAATAGTTTAATATAGAGCGACAGCAAGTTTTGCATAAAAATAAGCAAATTCTTTTTCTTAAAAAAAAAAAGTCTGAGAACTCGTATTTAGAAGAAAAGCTGGTTGGGTATCGATCATGTGGGTGACTCATGAATGCAGGAGCTACAGGAAGAGTTCAGGATGTTCCTAGCTTCTCCATCCACTAAATCCAGAGGAAGATCTGTGGAGCAAGATAAAAAGAAAAGCACAGCAATGAGTGCTAGAGCCTCCCTCAGGCAGCATTAATTCAGCAGATCTCTCAATCAAAYCTCCAGTCTCCCTAGTACCAGGAGCTTTTTATGAGAACACACGAGTATTTCCAGCCTCTTTTACCTGCCTAGAAATAATTGTGCTTGTTCTAGAGCCTGCCATCTGCAGAGATCCAGGCTGGCTCTATCTGACAGTGAAACAAAGTTTAAGAAACTTGCTGGAAGGGATCCAGCCAGGCAGAGGCAGAGCAGATGACAGAGTTAACCTTTAGCTGTAAATCATCATCTCACTTCAGCCACCAAAGTACCCATTTATTTCATTCCTTGTTTCAACCTGATAAATGGAGCAGACTCCTGATTCACACACACAGCTTGAGCACACACATCATGTCCCTGAGAGGTGGACAAGGAGCGTGATCCAAGTGGAAATTCTCTTATGAGACAGATAAACCTCACTGGAAAGCACACAWCCAGAGCCTCTGAGCTCTGCAATACCACCAAAATGGAAAGCAGAACCAGTATTTAAATGCTATCTTCAGAGTTTGCTCTTTCTTGTAAACCATTCCACTCTTTATTCTGATTAGATTTGTATTTTTACATTAAAGAATTAAGACACAAAATGGTACTTACGTGTTAGGTGATCCAAAACCAAACCCTGAAAGAAAAGCAAGATTAGAAAAATAGTCGGTAAAGGAGAAAATGAATGCGTAGGATTTATAGTAAATGTCCCTACCCACACACAGATTGAAAAATATTTCTTTCCTGCCTTAGGYCAGGCAAAAAGGATGGGCAAACAATGAAAGTCAAATCTCCATCTAGAAGAGAAGTGACTTGCCTGGCTCCTAAGAGGGTTCGGCTTTCACTGCTCATCAGCCAGGTCATTCATTAGCAGCCCTGCAGACAATGTGCCTGCTTTGCTCCTCTCTCTCTGAGCTGCTTTCTGGAGGTGGTTTGTGCTTAATGCAGAGCCCTGGTGTCAGTCAGCCACCAATGAACATGGCCTTGCACGGGCTCTGCTCTCAGCCCTGGCTAAATCACTGTGGCTTCATGGAATTGCAGCAGAAAAAACATTTGGCTGTTGGTGTTCCAGCTCAATTCTGCAGTGCATATCTCCCTGACACTAAGCAYTTCCACCACAGATAGCCAGGCACATGGTACTGAAGAAATATTCCTGATTTCTCAATATTTCCCTTTGAGCAGAAAGAGCAACTCCATAGAAAGGGGTGAAAAGCAATGATCTGAGGAGGTGTGCAAGAAGAGTGCTGTGCTGACACTGCACACAGCACATCAGGGATGCAATGAGGAGCTGAAGGCTGAGAAAGTTCCACAGCCCACCCTGCATCTCAGCTCTGCTGGGCACGGCGCCTTCCCTACAGCAGCACTAGGACCAGGCACATTTCTGGCATGGAGCTGAGGGGTCACACCCATTTTCAGGGAAAACCAAAGACATGGGGGCTTTAGGGTGATGATATTTTAGTTTTTCCTACCTCCTCCACCTGTCCCAAAAGCTGAGAATCCACTGCTTTGAGTGCCGAAGCCGCTGCCCTGCTGGGACAGGGAGCCAAACGTGGGGGTGTTCTGGTTTGCCAAGGTGCCAAATGATGCTGTGTTGTTACTGGTACCACCAAACCTGCAGGTTTGAAAGAGAAAATCCGAGTTTGAAAACATCTTCTCTCTCACACTGGAAATTTGTCAACATTCCCATGATAATAGTGCACTCCTTAAATGAGGATACTTCAAAAGGTGAGCCAGCTGACACAAATAATGGTTCATTTTGGAAAAATTTCCTGGTTTGGGAGAGACTGTTGTACATAGAAAGGTTTTATTCAGCTCCTCTTCTTGACACACACYGGGCAGGAAGGCAAATCTGTTCATGCTTACACAGGATATGTTTTCAAGTGCTTGGAAATACCAACTCCAGCCATYCAATGCAATATTTTAATTCACCCCTGTGTGCAGGGCAGCAAAGGAAGAATTGGTGTGAGTTGCTCAAAGCCAGAGCACAAAGCAGAGACCAGATACAGAACCCAGATTCCTAAATTTGAGGGGGTACCTTCCCCACTTTCCCACTGCAGGTTTCTCAATTCCTTTCTCTMCCCAGCACATTTTGAGCCACACAAGGTTCCAGTGCTTCCCTGAAGGTCTGCACCWACCTGGCACTTCTCCCCACCACCTCGAACTAATCATTCCCTAATTGCTTTTGGGGACTAAAATGAGAACACTGTTATACATGAAAATGGGTCTTTCTCCACCCACTCTGTCCAACCAGGCAGCACAGARCTCTCAGTGTGACACACTAATGAGACCATGACATGCAATGTGGTTTTCTGCCCCCTCTATTCTTCTCCCCATTCTGAATGTAAAAAATGCTCTCAAAGAACGACCTTCAAATTTAACTTCAACTGGGCAAAATGCAGGCACAAGACTTCCAAATGCCAAGCTCTGCAAGTGCACAACAATCCTAAAACCCAGCAGCAGCCTGAGCAGAGCTGGACAAGTCACAGTGTGCCAGCTCTGCAAGGCTGTGCCTCACACAATCTCCTGTCATTTCTCACTTCCAATACGACCTGACAGCACGTTAACCCACCTCTCCATCCATCYACATCTAGGAGACTTTAAAAAACCCAAAACACAAACCCACATCAAAAGCTATCTCTCCAGACAAAAGACAGCCCTTGCAGCAGTGTGACAAGCAATTCACCTGGTAAAGGACATCACCTTGCCTCTCCCAGACACTGCCAAGTGTGCTCTCTGCTTCCACAGACAGCAAAAGATACTGGGGACARTTCAGTGACTTTGCATCTCTGGCCCTGCTTTGGCTCCTCACCCCTGCACTTGCAGGCAGCATCAGCTCAAAACCWCAAATATGCTTTTCTCAGGAAAAGCAGAACAGTTTTTTTAGCTCTTCTTTTTAAAAAGAAGGAAGACTGGGTGATGTGTTTAGAACAAGAGGTTTTAGAGTGTTCCATCTTCCCAGGACTATGCCACAACACACAAATCCTGTCTGTCTGGTGGAAGGAAGAGAAGGGGAAATAATGACAAGAAAACTTGGTTCAAACTGCTCCTTTCAGTGGCAACCAGAACAGGCCTGCTGGAAAGGCTGCACACAGCATAAGTCAGAAACAGCTTAAGCTGTGGAGAGATTTTTTTTCCAGACGTAGAAAAGACATGACATGCAATCATTGCCTGGTAACAATTTAATCCAACCTATCTTGCCCAGATTTTCAGGTCTTTTGTAAAGCTGCTGTGCAAAATACAATTGAGWTGCACTTGAGGTTAGTTTATGAAAGCAAAACATTATTTGCTCACCAACAGTTGGAACTGCAGGCTCTGGAGAAGTGTAGTAGTTTCTATTTCTCCCACCCCAGTCATTTATTGAATGATGCAGATTTTTCAGAATTGAAGCAGCATGAATCACATGGATTTAAGTCAGCAGAGTATTCTCAGGAACTTAAGAGCTGATACATCACAATGTATTAGCAAGTAACTTCTCTGAAATTGGGATTTTTAAAGTTTCACTTCAAGAGAAAGGCAGAAAGGAAGTCCTGCCCAGATACCACATTACACTGCAGAATTAAACTATTGCTCAACATTTTGTGGTGAGATTTGGATTTTTGTAAAGCTGCCTTGGAATTTTGTACTCTTTTTAAAAGTTTAAAAAATCAACATCCTCAGGGAACTCTGAAAATATCAGACCGAGTCTGTACCTTTCTAGTAGAGAAAAAATTGTCAAAGCTTCCCACAAGTTAAGTCACTGAATTATCTTTCTTGAGTCTGCAGACTGCTTATGCAAGACCTCTTTTCCATCAACGTGCTGCTTGTTCTGAATCCCATTTTATCTTTAAGCTTTCCATGTTGTCACTGAGCACATCAAGTCTCAGAAGAAAATCCTGCAGCATAATGGCTGGACCTGAACAAACTACGAGTTGATTTAAGCTAAACCACCCCTACAAACACATCCTTCTTTGTGGAGATTTAATTAAGCTGCCTGTATTTTTACCCTTTCCAAAGGGACTCCTCCATTTGCTGAACATTCTGGACAGCAGAACAACCTGGCTGAAGGCTCCCCCAGCTCAGGGGTACCTGCCCACACCTCCCAGGGAATCAACAAATCACACTTCTGGATGTCCCCCTGTGCCTTAAGTGGAGGCAGTTCCTCCTGAAACCAGACAAAGAGACAAACACTTGCGAAATATGTAAACACCAAGATTGGGAAGACATCCGGTTTCCTCTCCCCATTGGGAGTTTTTCTCTTTGTAAGTGGCTCTGCTCAGTCTGACTGTAACTGCAGGACATGAAGGAGTGTTTCTGGCTGGTAGCACAGTGCTGAAGAACTGCATTTGCTGCCTACTGCAGAAGCTGCTTGGCAAGGTTTGGAGTTTTATATTTGCTGAACAAAGCAAGGAATAATGTGCTGTCTGCTCTGRTGCCAAGCACAGGCTTAGGGGGTACAAGAACAGGTAAAAACAATCAGTGAGGGATAAACATGAAGCACCCTGGGARCACAGGCTGTTACAAGTGCCTCATCCCACAGGTGAGAGAACAGCTTGACTTCTCATTAGAATCTCTAGCCCAAATCTAACCAGAGGATAAAGTGTCTGCACAGAGGCAGAGATAACAATATTAGTTATTTTCTTTGCTAGGCATAGTTTGTACTCCTGGATTTGCACTCCTTAAATGCACACAGAGAAAATACCCCTGCATTTCCTTAGATAGCTGCAAGCTGACATCTCTAAGGCTAAAGATTCAACACAGGAATATCAGCATTAAAATCATCATACACATTATTTCCTTCRGGGTGCAAGTTTTAGTTTTATAACCTTATTTTTTTTTAAATATATACCTTAATTATTTTTTCTTTTAAACAAACAAACCAAGGACACTCAGAGCTTACCAATGAACGACAGAATATATTCTTCATGTTAAAGCAGAGGTAACCAAGCACAATCTTGTCATGCAAGGAGGTTGTTCTCCCTGGCTTACCCAAATCCTCCAGCGCTGGCTGCTGCCGTCCCCTCGCCGAACACTTTGCCTCCCGTTGAGCCCAGAGGGCTTGAAAAGGTTGGGGCTGAACCGAATGCTGGCACCCCTCCAAACCCAGGGGATCCCCCAAAAGTGGGAGGGCTGCCAAACACTGGAGCAGCACCGAAGCCACCTGAGCAAAACAGAGGCAAAAAAGGGGACAAGAACATCACATAAACAATAAGGCAGAGAGAGAAAACAAAGAGCAGATTTCCAAGTGGATAATGGGGCTGTTCATCTTACAGTATGGACATCACAGTATTTATAGAGCCAATTCCAGTCTGCAGGGTGTTTTGTTGCAGATGTGGATAAGGGAAGTGCCTGAATGCAGGAARGAAAACTGCAACTGGCAAGTCTCCCCCATCTCTTAAGATCAGAGTGTAGATGCAAATGTGGTGTTTAGGTGCTTCAGTGATGCAAARATTTGGGAGGTAGGGTATGATCTAATCCTTGTTTAAGTGGTGGAAACTAAGATGAAGAATGAAGTGCCAGGTCAGTGGAACTGTCTGCAGGGAATCAAGAACTTCTCTCTGCTCTTGGCAATTTCTATTTGGGGTTTAGCTGYCTCGTGCAGCTCTGAGTGGATTTCTACCCAGATTATTTTATTCTGTGTTCATCCRTTGGTATTATTGGGCTGTTTCTAATTGACACTGTGGAACGTGAAGGACACCTGCTTTTATTTGACCGGGGATGAGGATGGGATACCACTGCACATTTTAATACCCAGGGTGAAATTCCAGTCCATGTCAAGGTAATGGATACTGTTTGGCTGTAAACACAAAAGGTCTGGAAAAAAATAAATGCTAGGCCTGAATTATTTAAACACAGATCAGATATTTTGTTACCTCTATCTCTAGGAAGTTAAGAGCATTTATTCCAGGGGCTGAAGCTTTGCTTGGCAAACATTCACTTTTGCAATGCATATTAACATGTTTCACTTTCCTTTTTCCACTATTTGTAAGTAGTGAAATGGGAATAAAAGAGGTTATAAAACCCAGAGTGGAGTTTGTAAGATAATATTCCAAGGAAGTATCTAAAATAGGAAAAAYGTATTCAGTTCCATGTTCTGTACTCTTGATTGTTCAGAACATAAGACCAGAACTAAATTACACAGCTCTCAGCTCTTAAATTGCAACTGGAATTTTTGGAATGAGCACCTGAGAATGTAGTCTACTGGATACTGCACAAGAGACTGTAAAATTCTGCCTTGAACCCACCAGTTAAAGCTCCATTCACTCAGCCATTAGTTATTTTTTATTTATTCTTCAGAGACAATTCTTGCAGGTGCACCGAGTCCAGGCTGTGGACAGCTCAGGGGCAGAACAGCAAACACCTCCCAGCCAGTGTGGGCTGTCCCAGTGGGTGATTCCCAAAGTACCTGCTTTGTTTGGGCTGGAGAACCCAAAGCCTTGGGAGGCCACACTTCCACCACCAGAGCTGAAAGTGCCCGTCGGCTTCTGCTCTCCGAAGGAGGAGCTGCCAAAGCCAAAAGTCTTTGCTCCACTGTTTCCAAATAAGCTTGAAGAATCTGGGGGAGATGAAGAGTATTTATAAACACCCAATATTCATAGCAGACAATATTCTACACGGCACTTCATTAGCTGAAGCAGGCTTTCCTTTCCCAAACCCCAAGCACACCACGAACATCATATTGAAAACAATGCAGAGAGAAGCCAAGTTTTCCTTATTCCTACAGGACTTTGTAGCTCCACCAAGATCCATTCTGGAGCTGATGGACCACTAACAACCTTTTATTGTTGCAATCTAGTAAATCACCATGAGGGATGATTTGTTTAGATGCATCCTGTGCCCCAGTCAGTAAAAGATAATTCCTCAAGTGAGAAATCCCAGCAGCTACAATCAGTCTCTCCAGACAACACAAATATCAGCTAACCACAAATTAAAGATTCTCAGCTGTTTTGGCAATGCTCAGTATTTCCACACAAGATTATCTGACAGAACCTTTAAGTAGGAGCCAAACTTTTCCAGCCTTAATGAGAAATAACTCATTTTTTTCATCCTTCACAAGGCTACAGGGAGTTTTTGCATCTAGAGGCAGGACACAAAACAACAAAAGCTTTTCTCTGGTGAACCATCTGTTTTGTTTCACCACAAATTACAGAATTGCATTAAATCATTAAATTAGCAAAGTTACAAATCTGACCTCAACCATTAATCCCAACGGATCATTAAAGATGTAATAAAATAAATGGATTTTCTCTCTTCAGGCTTCAAGTGCTACTCCTAACCATTTGCAGCACTAATTCTACAGCTTTCCTTTGTTTCTCTACTCTCATGCTTAGCTACTGCTTCCCCTTCTTCATGCTTTCTACCTGCCTCTCCAGATGTCACAGCAAATTTTGATAAAGTATCTTGCATGTGCTGCCTAAAGATAATAATTTTTAGGCAGAGGTTAACAAGAATTCTGTCACTCACATATTGACTCTTAAAGAATTTTCAGGGCAGATAAAAAATGATAGAAGATTTCTAACTTCCAGCCAAGTTGGAGGCTGAAATTCAGTGACAAAAATTTAGAGTATTCCATTTTAAGGAAGGATTTGGCCAAGAATTCTCTATAGAATATGGATATTTTTCACACTTCTTGCATCTGCTTGTTTGTTTCACTGGCTTCTCTACTTGTTTTCCATAAACCTWAAAGAAAAATTCCAGATTACACATYACACATACTCTGGTTACCCCCTCAAAGCCTTTCTTATTCACACAGAATTCACTCAYAGACAAATAGCAGCAGAAAAGCAGATGGGATCACAAAAGCAGATGGAAATCACAGCAAATTTTGTATTCTTGTTTTGTTCACTTACTCTGGGAAGCTGCGGAYCCAAATCCTCCACTGGAGGAACTGAAGGGATTCTTATTGGCTGCATCCTGACTTGGCTTTCCTCCCAAACCACTGAAGAAGCCTCCACCTCTCCCACCACCTCCAGCTCCAAACAAGCTTCCACTGGAAGAAGATGGCTGCTGGAACACAAAAGGGACAAAAARGGAATTTAAGCAATGTCAAAGCAGCACATGTTCCCCCCAAGGCTGTTCTGCCTGGGCTATTTCTCTAGAAGTCTAAAGGGACTCACAAATCAGCCAGCATTCACCTTCCAAAATGGAATGCCATGGTGTTTTATTTAAATCTGCCTTACATTTTGTCCACAGTCCAGAATAATGCCTTTGAGACTTGCCCTACACTGTCCACTTTCCACTTAGCMTGGAATAAAGGCAGGGGACCTACTGCACCTCTATCTTGTGAGTGATAAAATGGTTTTGTGTCCACATCCCCTGGATTATTTGTGCAGGTGCTGCTGTGCTGCTCACTAAAACACCAAATATCCCCAGTTTTATAACGTTTTATAACGCATCAAACTGTATTTTTTAAACACATATCAGAAATAGGAATCCTGACCAAGTTCCCCACAGATAACCCTTGTTTCTCCRAAAAGCAATAAATACTTGCCTGGCCAAAGACAGTGCCTCCAGTATTTGCTGCTTGCCCAAACACAGAGCCCGTATTACTAGAACCAAAACCTAAGAGAAGAAAGAAAAATTAATTACCAGAATGATTACTAGAGCGTAAGACATTTGGGGTCCAGGACAGGGAAAGGACAGGTCTTCCACACCAAAACACAGGGATACAAATGATGATCTAGGATGGACAAACAAAAAACATGTGCCAACACACAAATAATAAATTACACTAAAATTTTATTCGAAAATCATTCTCATTCTCTCTTTAGCCAACTTAAAAACAGACAATAAAAGGTCTTTTCACTTATGGGATTGTTGCTAACACTAAGAGAATTGGATTTCTGTTAACATGGCTACAGTAATACTGCAAGTCGTGCACAAGCACTGGAGCATTCTGATTGCCCTTGTGTAAAGAGAATCTGAGCTTTGTTACCTGAAGACTCCTGTTAAAGATAATGAAATGTTTTGATTAAAAAAAGAACTCCCCTTTCCATTTCCCAGTTCACTTAAATGTGCCTTTTGTAATAAAACTTGCATTTCTATAATTAGGAACACCTTTCTTGAGCAGAGTTCACTTCCCCCAATTTAACTATTCTCTGCTACTGTAGTTAAAATGAGCAAGCAGTTGCCTGCAGTGCCATCATTTTTAATTAAATGAACCTAATTAGTTTTTCTTCCCTGGAAATACATGCTCTCTATTATTACTATGTACTTGTCAGTTTTCCCTGGGAGCTCTCTGAAGATTGTACAGGCAAACCGTTGGAAAAGCCCCAACAATATATTGAGCATRTGGAGAACAAATAGGGACTGACCAAGGAGGTTTGGTCTGTGCAAGAATCCAATTTAAATGTGTGGACAGGTAGCTGATACTCATGTTACTGCTATATTTAATTTTGAGATGCTTCCAAAGCAGAATTATCAGATGATTCCCTGCAAACCCACCACTTTGAGGGCTTAACATGTTTTTKGCCATCCTAGCTGATGACACAGTTTTCAGCTGTACATCCACTGTTGCACGTGTTCAATGCAGGCCAGTGAAGGAAGCGTTGCAGCTGTATTTATCAGAGCTGCTCTGCCCCTTTGCTGCAACCATTTACAACACTTAGAGTTACTGTGCAACAGGCAGGACAATATGTAATTCAAAATTAAATTGAGGTAGACTTRTAAGTGTGAAATGAAGGCAGGGTTGGACGACAAGACTACATTCAGAGGCCTGCAGATGAACAGTGAAGCACAGCAAGAGCTTCTTTGGTCTCCAACATCAATCTGCTTCTCACACACACTGCAGCTCTTTTTTTACTAATTGAAAACAAAACCAAACCAAACAACAAAAATAAAAACCACTGGATGCAATAGGGGAAAAAAAGGCATTAAAGCCATGCTTTCCCCAGTGACACACTCTGAGGCACTGACACTAAGCCAGTGCTCTGCTCTTACCTGAGGCCTGGCAGAAGCTGAACCCAGCAGAGGACGTGGTGGTGGTGACAGCGGCAGTGCCACCAAACACGGATCCCCCTTGGCCAAAGCCAGTGCTCTGCCCAAACACAGGGGGRCTGCTCTGCCCAAAGAGCCCCCCACCCGTGCTGGCTGGCTGGCCAAAGGAGAAGGAGCTGGCGCTGTTGGTGCTGGCTGGGGCTCCAAAAACATTCCCACTGCTTGAGGCTGCGGTGGAAGCTGCTGGCTGGCCAAAGGCTGGCATTGTCCCAAACCCAGAYTGGCTGAAGGTAAAGCCACTTGAAGAACTGCTTGCAGGTTGCCCAAAGATTGGTGCTTGCCCAAAGGCTGGCTGGCCAAAGCCCCCTGTGGTGGTGGTGCCAAAAGCAGAAGTACCAAAGCCCGAGGTGGCYGCCTGGGTGGTGGCAGTGGCCGTGGACAGAGTGCTGGTGGTGAGCTGCCCAAACGGAGAGGATGCTGTGGTACCTGCTGGGAGCTGTCCAAAAACGGGTGCTGTGGAAGGAGTGGCAGCTGCTTCCCCAGCAGGCTGGGTAAATGCTGAGCCCGAAGAGCTGGAACTTGGCGGCTGAGAGAACACGGAGGAGCCTGCAGAAGTGGGGGCAAACACAGAGGCACCAACAGCTGGACTCTGCACACCTGTAGTGGCATCAGAGGTAGCAGCCAGAGCACCTGTGGCTTCTGCAGGAGAGGCAGTGCCTGCTGCGGAGGTTGTTGCTGAGACATTCTGATCTGGTGGGGCAGCTGCAGAGACAGCAGGAGGCACGGGCACCTTCACATCGCTGGTGGAGGTGGGAGCAGCCCCGGTGTCAGGGGGAGGCGGTGCCACTGCGGTGCCAGAGCCCTCCGGGGTGTCCCCGGCTGTSGCCTGGGGTAAGGCGGGTTCTTTGAGTGGCTCTGAGAGCTGTGCCTGTGCCTGGGGCACTGAAGGTGAAGACCCAGCTGCTACAGCTTCGTTTTCAGATGGTTTTTCTGACCCAGGTGGTGATTTGGCATCCCCTGCAGACTTACTGGAAGTTGCAGCAGGGACAATAGTTTGTAATGAACTTGCGAAACCTCCAAACGAGAGGGATGTTGAAGCAGGGAGAGTAGAAGGGGTTGAGGTGGATGTGCTCATACTGTTTGTTTGCTGAATACCAAATGAAAAAGTGGGTTTGGTGCCTCCAAGATTAAACACCCCAGAAGACCCTGTGCTGGTTAACTGGACATTGCCAAAGAGACTGCCTGAGGCACTAGAGCTGATGGGCAGCGATGCTGTGCCAGCTGACGTGACTGACGTTGAAGCAGCTTCTCCAGCTTTTCCTAATGTCAGGGGAGCAGCAAAATTGAACCCAGAAGGTATTGTAGACACTTTAGCTGCCTGTGCTCCTGCAGCACTGGTGGATGGTRCTTTAGTGGTGGCCTTGGCATTATCATCTACTTGACCAACCCGAAGTCCTGAGAAGCTGCCGAGAGTTTCCCCAGCTAAATTGCCCTGAAACAAGTGATCTCCTGGTTTGGATGGAGCAATATCCAACTTGCCAGAGGTTGTGGGGGGAGCAGAAGATGTTGCTGCAGCAGCTTTGTTTGACTGGGTGCCATCTGCTGAGGAGTTACCTCCTACCACACCTCCTGGAGCACTTGCTGACTTGTGGGACCCAAAAGCAAAGGAAGCCTCGGGAATTGCTCCAAGTTTGGAACTCCCAGCAAACGAAAACGAATCTGGCTGGGCAGACTCTTTAGCAGGGGCTGTCAGTGAGAGAGACAGAGGGTACAAATCAAGTTAGGGTATGCAAAGCTCATTCATCATTCTTATCATAATGATCCATTTCAGTGCTTCACAGACTGTCAATGCTCTCGCCTCAAAACCATAAAGCCTCTGTCCATCARGTAACTGCAACCTTCATATCCATTCAGGACATAACAATGACATCTGAAGCCTTTATAGCCAGAGTGGCAGTGTTAAACACTGTCACATCATAGCCTGCACTTAACCATCCTTCTCTATGAGTGCAAACAATTCCAGYCTTTGGCTCCTATTTCTTTTTCAGCAGGTTGATAAAAACAAAGAAGACCTGGTTATCACAGATAATTTGCTATTGACACCACTTTCACCCCTTCTTACTTGGCTAAAATCTTTCTTTATAAATTCAGTTATTTACAGACCATCAGCCTGTTTTYAAGCAGCCTGTTTTCAGCTTTGAAAAACTAGAGAAAGACTCTGTATTATAAAGCAGATTTTCTCAGTTCCCTTTTACCAGACTGGGCAAATGGGATCTATCTATGAGATGGAAAGGCAGYCTATGTATTGTCACTTCAATTTTAGAAGCAAAGCCATTCCAAGCATTTCCCACTGATTACTAAACGCTTCCTGGATGACAGTTCTGTCAGTCCACCTCAGCAACTTTAAATCTACAGATTAAAGGCATGAGGAAATGACTACAGATGTCAYCCTTTTCATAAACGAGCGCCTCCTAAATATTGTTGGCAACAAATAYTTTCCTTATTCTTAATTGAAAGGCAGGTGGCCCAGATTTCTGTGTATTACAGGGCATATGTATGAAATGTTATTGCAATTTCAGTAATAGAACTGCAACACAGAACAAGAACCACATGAATTAGGAAGATGAAACATTCTGTTAAGAGGGAAGAGATGCTGTTTGCACACTCTCCCAAACTAACCTTGTGAGGGAGTGAGGCTGGGCAGCGTCTGTGATGAAGCAGCTGATGTGACTCCACTAAAATTAAATACAGACCTAGGAGGAAAGACGAGAAAGGGAAAGAATGACTTAGCTCAAAGTGTTAAAGCTTCCAACCATATGAAGAGCACAACTCATGAACAGACTTGCACAAAACCAGGCACCCGGGCAGTTTGTCCAAGGACTAAACAGGAAGAGAGAAGCACACTGTGCTCCATTTGTTTCCTCTGAAAAGGCTTCTAGAGGGTTAAAGAGGGTCAGAGTTTAAAGCTCTTTTGACCACCCTTCATCCTCCCATGTCCTTCCCTTTCTGCTGTGTATTTCATCCCCATGCAGCTCTGCCACTCAAGACCATGCACCAAAACCTGATGGATGTGGGGAGATTGGTGAGAGGAGAAATCACAAGGGCAACTAGAGTTTGCAAGAGCTAAAAGAGAAGAGTCAGTGCATGTGGAGAAGGGAATAAGTGGATACTATCATCCACCAAAAAGGAATCAATCATAGCAAGACAGAAATGAAAAGTTTTCATGAATATTTTAAGACTAAAAATATTTTSTCTTGCAAAAATACTGTGATCTTTCATAATGAGTCTTGCAGAGATCTTCCTTCCCYGAGGCTTTTTAAGCTTTCTCTGATTCTCAAAGACCAGCTGCTGATACAGAAGTCAGGCCATGGAACTAAGACATCACTGACAACCACACTGTATCAAGCATATGGTTTACACAGAGAGGGACWGCATATGGGACAAAGGCAGGGTTGTTTGCTTTTTGAATCTGAATTTCCATCACTCAAAAGGACTCTTTCAGCCCTCTGAGGAGCCCAGCAAGGCATWTGAGTAGCATCCACTTAAAAAACATGCAGAGAGATGGGTAAGAGTGAAAGAAACCAGCCATTTGAAAGTACATGTGTTCTGAAATACTTAGCGTTGCCCACTCCCAATTCACTTGAGTGTCASGCCAATAAACACGCAGAACTTCAAACCATCATTACTAAGGAATTATCCCTYTACCCTAAACATAAGATATGATCCAAGAAATATTTTTACCATCCCTGAARTAACATTCCAAAAGAGAGATTTCAGAGTAACTGTATGTTTGTAACATGTGCCTTCCTCTGTGTTATTGTTATGTAACAGATGCCACCAGATGGCTTGGGGCCCCTCTTGTCACCTTCATGAACTGACTGCTTTTCAAGCCAAAACACAAAATTTGTTCTACTGTATTCAAATAAGTAAGTAATTCAGCAAGTGTGACCATCAATACATTTTTCAAGTCCTAAATGAGAACTTGTTGTACACTACAAATCCCAAAAGCAAGCCAGTCATTCTTTGCTCTTGATTAGTTACACACTGAAAAATCCCAAAGCAACATGATATTGTGTCAAAGTCTCATAGAMCTTCAGACCTCACTCAGGCTTCCACAAACAAGGCCTTCAAAGAACTCTGGTACCCTCCCAATYTAACATCTGCAGGTGCCATTTTACAGAATGACACAGCCTGCAGGCAACACCTGCTGTAACAGCCCATACTCGTATTTAATGGCAACTACAAAGAAATCTTAGTGTTCATACAGACCCCGTAGAAGAAAACGAGAATGCTTTGTTAAGCTGTGAAGTYGTTGCTTGTACTGATGTCACTGTAGAAGAAACAGCTGTAACTGTTTTTACTGTCCCTTGTCCTGTAAGTTACAAGAACAAATAAATATACTTTTAAAATGTATTTACAAGTTAAAAAATAAAAAAAGCACCCTGTCATCCATCTATCAGAAAAGAAAGGATTAGCTCACACACAGTCTGTAATTTAATCAATTTCAAATAAAAAGGAAGTGCTATCAAATTCAGGAGCTGACATTTTCAATAAACCAAAATTTAAGAAGCACTTGCCAAGTCAAATATGATTCCTAGCTATTTTTACTGCTTCTTACCCCTGGCTAAGAGGCAACCTACATCCACGGATTAAAGGCAAAAGACCAACAGAGATGGATTTCAGACATTTATGCAAGAGGCTTATAAAACCATGTCCAATGCAGGCATTATTATCTCATACACATTAAAAATCAATTGCTTCCTTCCCCTAATGCTTTTTCTTTCCTTGTTAAGTTGTAAACTGAGCATTCATTTCTTTAGAAGTTTCCCAACTCTGTGAGACTCATCACTGTGTCTCAACTGGCTCTGAAGTTGCTCGTACAGGTCAACACTCAACAGATCCTGCACAGGAATTAGTTCACTTCAAGCTTGTTCAGGAACTCCTATAACACTGTGKGTCTAAAAATCAAATCAGCACATTTAACATATTTAAAACCAGCATGATTTCCATGTTTTGAAAACAAAAGAGCTGCCTTTAATTTGCTGTCAAACCACAGCAGCCTTGTGGAAAGATGTGCTTTCAGCATTTTCTGATARGGGTTACCAGTCCTGACCCCACTCTGAACAAGGAATTGTGTCACTGAATTCTGGATGCAGGAGCAGACAAAACACAGGGAGTATAGAATACCACTCTCCTGCCCTTCTGTACTTTGKTTTTTCAAATTCTCTCCCTCAAGATTGGCATAGCAACCTCTGAATGGAGTAAAAYCCTTTTTCCTCAGTATCCTCATTCTCTGGATTGGCCACCCTRACACATGACAAGAGACATCCCCATTATTTCCACCCCCACTGCAAACAACTTACCTGAGATCTTGYTGCCAGATGATGTTGGCCCAGCTGTGGATGCCATAGGGGAGGGTGCACACACGGAGGAAGGTGGAGTCTGGCCCTTCATGGAGCTTGCCAGAGGGGTCTAAAAACACAACACCACTTCAGGTCAGTGCAGTCTGTCCATTAACAAAGGTCCTTCTGACATTGGTTGGGTATTATCAGTGTCATGCAGTGACTTCAGAACAAAATAGAGGAAGGTGGCTGAARCACTTAGAAGAGCTCTGCAATCTTGGGTCCATTATGTCTTGAAACTTAAACACAGGGTCAATCCTCAACCTTTTCAACAGGTCAGCAAGTCTCCATGGGCAGCAGCTCAATGATTCCAGGGGACAGACTGCTGCATTGATGTGGCTTTTTTGATGTATAGATATAAAACCCAGCAGCTTGTCAACCACTAAGCAATGCTTTCAGTAGAATAACAGTATAAGTAAACTACTCTCTCTCCCTTGATTGCCTTTCACTTTTTTTTTGTGTGAAATTTAGGTGTATCTACCTAATACAGCTTCCTTTGCTGTTAGCTGCAACCCTCACTGCAGCAAGGCTGGGGCCCTTAGAAAGCTGCATGTCTTCAGAAGTGAGAAAAGGCAAGACATAACATAGGTATGTCCAGCATCACACTGTCGAGGTCACAGATAAAGAAATGGTGTGCCAAGAATGCAGGGCAAGCTGTGAAAAGCAATTTTAAACTGATCTGTTCAYCAACAATTAAAACCCCAACTGTGCTGAGCATGCCCAGGTTCCGTATTCCACAGGGGAAGGATTCTRTATCAAGATACCTGTTTAGCTTGATTTGTAGCAACAGTTGCCAAAACYTGATGGACTGCCTGGGCTGCAGAGTGAGGAACAGACGATCTTAAAAAGAAAAATTAAACAATTATATGAATAACTGAAAGTCTGAAAGAGGATTTCCTCTCCTCTCAAAAAGCACAGCTCCCAGAAGCCTTGAACAACAGCCACTACTAAAGATTCCACACRCAACTCCAAACGAACAAATCTGATTAGAGAATAAACCTCTTAAATGAATCAGCCACATTTAACAAAGGAAGTCTGTAAATGTGTTTAAACCTCTAGACTTAAACCATCAAGTCTTCTCCAGACACTCTTGTCTCTGAAGAGAGTCAGGGMTTTCTATTTTACAGGGAGTTGATGAAAAATCAGCAGGTAAGGGGATTACAATTTTATGCCTAGTGGATAACAAATTTAAGCAGCTTCCTTTATAACGTGGAGTCCAGACACGTATATGCAATGCTTAGAAATGCTGTGTAAGGAGACAAAGTTGGGAGTGGGTGGAGGGAGCATTTGCTGTCTTTGAAGWGTATTATARACATTGACAGAGTCATGGCAAGAAACACAATCAAATTAACCTGTATTCTACRTTATAGGTTTGGTAATTTTGGCCAYGAAACAAAAAACACCAGACAATTGGTGCTGAACAGCAGCATTTCGTGGGGTGCAGCATCTGACTTGGCACTGTGGGCCTTTAACACACCAAATCATTGTAATTTGGGAGGAGCCAACCAGTCCTAGCATTTCCTCAAGTCTGTGGTCCACCAGGTTGCCAATACTAGAAGATTTCAGAATCTTAAATTCAACCATGATTGCATTCTCTTGGTGACAAAGCCCAGCTTTCTYACCCAGGCAGGTTCTCTCCATTTGACTCAGGCCAGAAGTTCCCTAAAGCAATAAAACCAATCTCTGGCTGGGGCTGCAAATCCCAGACAGTGAGCAAATGTGGCATCCAAAGCTGTCTGTCTCCTAAAGCATGAGGACTCCCAAACTGCATTTACTGCTTGGTCAACTGCCAGCCAATTCACAGGAAATTTCTACCATATCCCAAAGGAAGAGGACACATGCATGAAACTTGTGCATGGCCATTYAGTCTTGGCTCTGGTTTTGTGCCTTAAACAGTTTTGCTTTACTAGAAAGTCCTTCCTTCCAGCAATGAGTGCTCYCTCTACACTGCATGCCCTGGATTTGCCCTCTGCCCAAAGCAGAAGTAAAGCAAACAATGAAAATTTCAAGACTAACACAGGAAAAGGCTGGTGTTGGGATGGTGCAGCTGTACATTTCAAGTTTACACTGAACAAAGAAAACAACAGAAGGTCTGAAATTCAGGAGAGGGTGGGACTTGATCACAAGATCACTTGACAGTACTGTGAAAATGCTGGGCTTGACTTCCAGTTCTGGAAAGAAGACTTTTTGTGCACTGAAAACAATATATTAGTAACTAGACTGGGACCACCAACAAACCCAATCACAGGCCACTGAACAACTGATAACAACTGAAAAATCATTCCTGCTTAACAACCGAAGAGTGTGCTGTGGCAGCAGAAGGGAGCCAGGATGTMTGAAGTAGCAAAAACTGGTGAATTAACTTTGCTGGGTGAATGCTCTTCATTTCAGTGCTGAATCTGACTGGCAAGCACGGTTCATTTGGGCAGAATTTTTAGAAAGTACATTTTTATGAGGTCAGCTATAAAGTAAGACTGCAGAAAGCCTCCAAGATATCAAGCCAGCTGGTGCTCTATAAATTAGAGAGATCAATCAATACTGCCAGTCTAAAACTACCTGAAAGTAAAACAGGTCTTTAACTACAGTTCAAGTGAAAACTAATCTCATTACATATTGCCCATTCACAACCTTCTCTATGCACAGTCAGTACTTTCTACGTTTTTCATCATAGTTCTGAAGAAACAGAGGCTGGAAAACTCTTCCTGGTCACAATACTATTTGTAGCCAAAAAGTTCCCAAGTACAGCTGTCTACAAATTTGACTTTCAAAAGATGTAACAATTCCCTTCCCCATTCCAGTTTATCACTTTTAGGAAGAAAGAAAATAGCAAAAAGTGCCCAAACTGTTTYTCAATTAAAATGCAAAAGAAACCATGAAATAAATGTCAAGGTCAGCAGCTGAGTACCACCACTGTGAGAGTGTTCCCTTTTTGAAAAGCTGCATCAAAGGAATTTCACCTTTTTTCTTTGACAGTGAAGAGCACGCACAAATGTGTGAAAGCCAGTCGTGATGTAACAACAGGAATTGTTCCAGGAGCTGCACAGCTCAGAGATACATGGATAAAGCATTTGCAACTCCATATGAGCTTGTAATCAGAGATACCTGGTGAATTTATCCCTCTTTATGCAGTAAGTGCAACTTTGCACAGACTTTTCAGTAGTGCCCTTGCCTCCCCAGCCCAGAACTGGCCATGCACTGCTCTGGTCTTAAGCAACAGCAGAACTTCAAGCAAAGACAGTTTCAAGGTCATTATGACAGGGAAAAGGCCTCGTCCTAGGCYGGTGACAGAGCCTGGTGATAAGAGAGAAATCTCTGGAATGAGCTGAGCTGGTTGTTGTCTGCAGGAAGCAGAGTAGAGAAGCCAAGTGTTACAGCCAACTCACAAGAAATGGTAACAAATTCAAGGTTAAAAACCACAAGTCAACATTCATCGTTTACTCATGAGGAAGAGCCTTGCAGCTTGACAGTGTTCCAGAGAGGCCCCTAAGTGACACCCAGGCCTTCAGTCAAAATTCTGATGTCAAAACATTTGAGACAAGTTTCCAGAAAAGCCARAGCACAGCTTCCCCTCCCTCAGGGGGTCAATCTGGGAACAGACAGAAGGCATAACTCCAGAGGTTTTCTCTGTGAAGGATGACGAAGTAGAAGGAAAACATCTGGACAGCCTAAAGTCACAGACCACACTCAGTGACAGAGAGCTGCACTTCCCTCACTGGAAGAGGTAGAACAGAGGTAGTGACTGGAGAGGTACCAGGTCCAAATTTCCTATTAGCAGTAAAACCACTGAATCCCAGAAGGAGAGGATGAACTAAAATGCTTTTCACAGACAAATGGAGAAGGAGGTTAATACTGGTGTCATCATTTGTTCAGAACAAGCCATTAGCAAATCCTTGAATGACCTGGAAAGAAGATCTTTCTTTCTTTCAATCCACAAACCAATACTCTTCAGTAAATCCACCCACTTCAGGCCTTACAGCCATATCTGTAAAATGCTGCTACTGCTCCCCACTGGCAGATGTGCTCCAGTGCAAATGCTACCAAAGGCCACCAGAACGGAGGGCAGCCCTCCCTCACTCACCCTATTACTGCAGGGACTACTGGAGTCAAAGAACCAGACTTGAGTTCTCGAACATTCACCACCTGAGGAACGTTCTTCAGAGTTGATTCGGTCAAGGAGGTGCTTACAGCTTTAAGGGAAAAAAATAAGAGTGGGAAAAAAGAAAGATGTAAAGACAATCTCCATATGAAGCATTTAATTTCATTCAATATAGCCTGAATAACTCCAAAAAGATCGACCCAAGATTCTATAACATATATACTGTATCCAAAACATTTGGAACCTCAGAATTCATTAAGGACAAAAAAAAAAAAATGGGCAGCAATCCATACAGTTGGTACATTTTTTGTTGTTTGCTGACCGATCTAATTTTTCTTATCAACTCTCTCTTACCYACATTGTAACAGAAATGGGAATTTCTCACATATTTTGCACTAGCAACTTACAGGGAAAAGGAAGACAAAGGAACACTGGGTAACTCAGAGGTGCAACAACTACAGATGCATGCCACATTTTGTTTAATGATCTCCTCCTTTGAGAGCACTAAATCCCTGTGAAAGCCACATTCATCTGCTCAGAGATCACTTGGRCAATTAGCCATCCTTTTACCTGGGGACTGATTAGCAGCCATCTGCCTCTGCAGAGCTGCAGCAGCAGCTGCTTGTGGTGCTGGAACAGTGACAGTGGGAGCAGGGGCTCCGTGTTTCACAGTCTTTGTTGCAAGCATTGTACTGTCTGCCCCTTGTGGGATGATTCTGTTTGAAGATGTAGGCACTATAAAAACAAATTAACAGAAGTATTAGCTCAGTGTTTCACTACAAATCAGGGAGTCTTTGAAAGTCTTTGCAGTTCCTCTCAGTACACAGCTTCTTCCTGACAGGATTGATGTGYAGGCCATTCAAACAATCAACACAATCTGTCCCTTGTATATCCCAAGGAATTCAGTAAGGCTCAATAGATGTCATTTCAGTGCATTAGAGGACCTTCAGTTTGCTGTTACAGACACTTTTGCTGACACCTCACTTTTCTCTCTGGCTGCAGAGATTAAAGAAACCTCTCCTGCACAAGGAAAACTATGTGTATGCAAATGCAGTTCTTACTGAGACTTGCTGGGCTCAGAACTCCTAACCTTGGCCACATAACCAAATGCAGTGATATTTCACTTTCTTCATCTTTGGGAAATATTTTAGGTCAACACAATCTGAAAGGACCAGGCTGTCACAAAATCACAGTCAAAGAATTTAGCTCAAGTTCACGAGGCTACTGCTCCTGGGAACTTGGCAATGTAAATCTGTACCCTGCAATCTCATTTTCCAGGGCCTGGCACTGACAATTGATACAGTGGTTAAAGAACACATTGTGAAGAGAAGAGACACTGCAAGCACAACTCACACAAAGTACCCAGGGAGAGATGCTGTTTCCCAAAGGACGGAGACTGAGCCATCAAACCCGGCTGGATAGAGGGAGTTCGGACCACAGGAGCATGACGAGGGACTTGRACTGGGGCAGCCTCTTCTTCCTGGTCCACTGCTTGGGAATCATCATTCTCCAGTGACTGGGAAACTGAGGATGTTGAGCTGACTTCATCCAAATCTTCATAATATCTCGTGGACAAGAAGGCAGATCGGGACAAACTTGCTGCAATATCAAAACCAAAATTCAGTATTAAGTTGAGGGAACCATCCAGTGTTACAGCCATGACAAATGCACCCTGGTTTAGGATGCTCTCCTATTGGCTTCTTTTAATCCTGCATTGATAGGATTTGACTGCTTTAATGCTTGGAAATCAGCCTCCAACCAGAGGCAATTCTAACTGATAGCAGATGGGGAAATAGGAAAGGAGAAGTAGAGAAGTCAAAAGCTAATTTCAGGTCTCAGTGCCACAGCAGGTAAGTCACCCTCCTAGAAGACATTTCAGACTTCTATGGTAACTAAAAGTTTACCTGGAGCTGTAGACCTAATTGGTGGAGTTTTCCTCTTGGCTAGGAAATTTCTCAACTGTGCCTGCTTCACAGGGGATAACTTAGCTGGAAAATGGAAGACAGTTATTAGTCTACAGTCAAACAGCATCTCAAAAAAAAAAGAAACAATTCACATTTATGGTGTGAATGCCAGGAACAAAGGATAAATTACCAGGTGCTTTAGGCAGAGGTTTGGCTTGTGATTTCAAAGTAGTTTTCATCAAATCATTGCGCAGGCTTTCAAGGTCGCTGTCAAAACTGGGACAAGGCAGAGCAGTGAAAAAACACCATCAGCAGAAAGAAACCAACCAAAGCAGGAACAAAATTGGGCCAAAGCAGCCAGAAGAACCACTGGTATATCTGTAAGAACAATTGCCTCCTCTAGATACKGTGTGATGCATTTTGAACTATTTTGGAAACTTCAAGAGCCATTCACTTCTTCCCATGAAGTCAGACAACCAGCAGTACCTCACCCCAGYGCCTCTATTATCTCATTTAGTATAAAACCCATTAACTTTCAAGGGAAATTTCTGCTAAGCATCACTGTGTCCCAGAATATAAACAATGAGCCTCTGTATTATCTGGACATGGTTYAGTATAATTTTTAGGATATCCTGTCCTCCCATACCATACCCACAAAACATCATTCTCTGGACGATGCATCTTTGCACGTTGCTGGAGGGAAGAGAGGAGGAGGAATTTGCATTTCACATACCTCTGAGCACTGTTTAGAGATGTRTCACTGGGGACACTCCATTGAGAGGTCTGGTTGTAGAGGCGGAGCTGCTGCAGGCTGTTCACCAGGTGGTTCAGTCTCTTCCTCTGCTGGTTGATGATTTCCCGGTTATTTGCCAGGGTGTTGAAYAAAGTCTCTCGCTCGGGGACTATCAGACGCCTGCAGAAATCAGATCAAGAGACAGGGATAAGGACCATTCTCTGTATCTGGGTCATATGCAGGCAAACAAACACCAATGCTTTAGTAGTTCTGGCTACTGAAACTCAAGGAGGACAAACACCAATGCAGTTCAGTTCATCTCAAAAACATATTTCTCCTCTGGATATGCTGCCAGTTTATTCATTTAGCTCATTTGCTTCAAGATGTTTTTTTTATCTGTTAGAAAGGTTTCATTAGCTGCCATGAATGAATTTCTACAAAATTTACCATTTTGTTCTATAAGCACTATTTACACTGTACATAGATACAAAAAGCTTGTAACATGTATGAAGCCAGAGAGTCTGAACCTATGGCTCCTGTTAAGTGTCTTAGACAAGTTTTACTCCCAGAGCTCTTGAAAAAGATGGAAAAAACAAGGAAAAGGTCAATTACTTACTTCTGCTTTCTCTTCTGTTCCAGGTGTCKATCCCACTCCAAATCCAGAACGTCATTCACGTCCTGAACAGCAAACTTCACATACTGGTGCAAGCGTCGGATTTCCTGCCAYGCAAAGTAAAATGAGTTTTTAATTCACTGCAGAAATCTCAGTTTCAGTTCAGGAAGCTGAAGAATCTTTGGGCTCACTCAAATCAAGCCATGCAGGACTTCCCCATATTTCTGCCTGGAAAGTTTTATCAGCACAACAGAACCCAACATGGTGACAATTTACGTAACAATCAATGGGGCACACACAGAGTTTGATCTGGACATTTTATCCCAGCTCTCAAGTAAAAATAATACCGCCCACAATATTTGAAAAAAACTGCCAGGTCTTTACAAAAAGGATTTTACAAACATCAGGCATTATACAAAACAATCCTTATTTCAAATGACACTTCCAGAACATGAGTCATTTGCTCCCATCTTACAACACTGAAACTTCTAACAATTATAAGTGATCAAAGCTTTGCAGGCTACTCACACAGCTCTAGAATATCAGCATTCACAGACTATGATTCACGAAAGCACTCACAAATGCTCACACCTCCCACATGAAGGCAAGGAATTCACTTGACTCTTATAGGTAGGAAAAAAAAATAAATAAAAAGCAGGGACAAGAGTAAAGAGACTTATCCACAACTACATAGCTGCACAACTGTAGCAGCAAAGCCAGAGACCTCAGGCCCCAAGCTCTGCTCCCTAAACACACCCAGAGCTCAGTCTCATTGATGATCCCTCCTGCCTGGCATGGCATGGCCACAGATTGAACCCCAACCTTGTAAAATGGAAATGAGCTGAAACCAACTGCAGTTCCCACCTCAACAGAATGCTCATCTAAATACAATGAAGCAGTAAAGAAACACCGCTTGGGACGAATTCCACTGCAAATGCTTTCAAGACATAGATTGAAATTCTAGTGGGACATCCCCAACCTGAAAGCAAAGTGTTAACCACTGCCAAGCCCAGGTCTGCTCTCTCCAGCACCTACATTGCAGCAACTTGTGGATACAAAATCAATATAGCCAGACATCAGACTCAGGGTCTTGAAAACTTCATGGAAAACTAAGACACAATGCTGACTCTGCTGGCTTTTTTCACCCAGGAGAATGGGGATGATGTAGACTGAGTAAAATTTAAGAGTCAAAGCAGAGCTTTCTCAAAGCAAAGTTGACCCAAAAGTTCTCTCCTTCCRTTCCAATCCACTTCCACTTCTCTCCCACTGCATTATTCTTTCCTCATGGTCATTTCTCTACACAGTACAACACATACTTCATCATCTCTCTGAACTCACAAGCATAAGCTTTAAATGTCAGAGACATGCTGGACATCAAAGCAGCCATGCAATTAAGACTGTAAATCAATCAACAGAATCCAGGTGAAGATTAGAGATGAGACCTAAAAGAAATTACTTTGTATCAGCTGATTTCTAATAACTGCACGCATGGTCTTGATAYCTACTGCCACAAAGCTGACATTCAATTATGCCTTCAGCCTGCCAGTCAAACCTCTTGAGGGGAACTTATCAGTGTATAAAAGACCAAGTATCATTTGTAGGACACATTCACTCTATTTTKCTTAGGGTTGAATAGCCTTCATCACCAGAGCTGTAACAAAAAGTGCTTCACCCCTTCTTTYTTTCTTGTCTTTGAAAGCCTCTTTATGTACTGCTGGTTATTTTCCTTTGTGCCCCAGCTTTCAGAATATCATTAAGCTTTATGCTCCACCATCCATGAAATTAACCACACAATTCTGTAAGTCATAATAAATCATCAAATTGTTCCATAAGGCACTTGCTGAAGATAAAAATAATTCCAAGAACTCTTCTATAAAGTGTAGAAAAAACCCAACATTCTTTTAACTGAAATCCCTGAGCAAACACTACAGGCTGAGAGGGAACAGGATGTCAAGAGTCACATCCTAAGATTAGAATAGACTTGGATCTCAGGTGAACTACATCCCTTCAGCAGGAGTTTTGAATCATCACTGCAAATGCAACAACAGAGAGGAGCTTTAGGAGAGGATATTCAGCATCTCTTGCAAATTCATGGAAAACAAAGCTTATCACACTTTAATCAGACTATGATGAAACAGCAAAAACTTTGGGCAGAACAATGCTGGGCACTGCAAGCAGTTTTATTTAAAACTCTCTATCAGAAGCTGACTGCCATGATTAATACCTGAAGCTGTGCTTCACTCTTGGGATCCAAAGGTTTCTTATAGAGCAAGTGTAAATACCCCGAGCTACGATTCTGTTCATTCTGTTCTTTAGCCTCTTCYACCCCTGCAAATCCCTCCAGCAAGGTCGTCTTCAAAATACTGATATCTCCATGAAGTGACTGCAAAGAGAAATAGAACAGATGGGACAAGGTTCAAAGTCACATTTTCCATTGCCATCCCTAGCACAAGGGCTTTTGCAGGCATCTGCCTGAAAGCACAAAGGCAAATGCCACCCTCTCATTAATGCAGCAGTCAGATGTTCCATCTCCATCAGTACAGCTGTAGCAGGTTAAGGAGGAACATCAGGTGAGGAACAGTCACTGCTGGCTCACAGTTTGAAGATGCTCTGCTCACCTCTGTTGTCTCTTTAATTTCCAGCAGAAAGGTGTGAAGATCATCCGACTCCGTTCGCAACATTTTCATTTCTTCTGGAGTCCCAACCTGGAAACAGGCTTTGGAAGTTCTGGCCTTCAACTCCTCCATCTCCTTTTGAAAATGTGCAATCTGCAAAGTCAAGCAGAACAAAGGGTAGCCACTGAAAACACAGCAGGGTCTGCAACAAATGTCACAGCTCTTGGATCATGCTTCAACTACACCACAAACACCTGGCACTTTGCAGCAAAAGCAGGAAATTCTTGAACAGTAAAAGGAAAGAATACTCCATTTTCTCAGCACAGTAACTGAAGATGACTGGACAGGACACACAAATATCAGCTACAAACCAGGCTGGCTATCTTAGGAAAAATTTCCATTCTTATTTCTACACTATTTATAGACAGCATTAGAACACAGCTGAACTGAACTGCCTGTGTGGTGTTACAAAGAAAAGTGCTTGAAAATCTCACCTCCTCTCTGATTCCTGCTATGACAGGGTCCGACTCCTTCCACTGGTGGGTCTGTTTCTCTAAAGTGGTGCTGGGGAGTGCTGATTTGCCCTGGGGGGGAAAAAAAAGACAAAACCAAAACCAATATTAAGGATATATCCGTTGCAACAGGGAGATTAGAATGTCAAAAAAGGCCCGATGTTACAAATTCTAATCAGACACCAGACACTCTGATTATAACAACATACAGCTCTCTAAAGACATGCAGAGAACATTGTTTTAGAACCAGAGATTTGCTACTAYTTCAAAGTCAAAAGTGAGCTAATGCTTTGACCTAAGAACACTAGTTCAGTCCAAGGAACTCCAAGCAATTCATGGCCTATGCAAAACATTCACCCTCCAAAGAATCTAGTCAGGCTCCTGTTACCTGGGTAGAGCTTGGCTTTGCTGCTGATGGGGTGATTTTGGGAGTCTTCTGTACCAAGGAAGCTGAAGGAGTATTTTGAGCAGGACGTGCCACTGGAATTTAAGAACAGTAATTTATGAACTTACACAAAGCTTGAGAAAACAGGCTGTGATCAGAAATAACATCACCTCTGTCAAATCCAAAAGCAGTGGTGSTATAGACCCCAATGCACGAACACACCTTCCTCATCCAACTTTTCTGTGATTACATTGAACTCTAGTCAATGCAAATGGAARGTGAGGTATTGATTTGCCCAGAAACATTCACAATCAGAGCACTGAAAATGCCAGAACTTCTGTGTGAACTTAAGCAGCTGAATATAATTATTTCACATATGGCTCTCTGAGGAATAAAGAACACAAATGGAATGGTGTACCAATCAAGAGGGCTTCTGCAGCAGGAAAAGCAGCAGGAAAAACAAGAAAGATGCCAAATGAAGCTCACTATGTCCTACAACTTTCTAAACGTTGTTTATAATGCATTATTCCCAACAATATGGATCAGACTCCTACCTGTGGTGGGCACAGGGGATGAAGTCTTCAATGGTGTGGTAGGAGGGGCTGTGAGGGGCGTGGACTGGCTTAGAGAACCTCCAGGAGCAGTTTTGGAACCAGTTGAGAAGGAAAACATTGTGGAAGTGCCTTGACCACTGCTGCTGGTGGGAGAAGCGGTGTCTACAGCACTGAACCTGCAGCAGAATGAATGAATGAATGAATGAATAAATGAATGAGCAAATGAATAAATGAATGAGCATCCCCTGGGATCACAACTCCAGTTCCAGATACAAAATTACACTTCTGGAGACAGTGGGAAGGAGCTATTCAGGGCAATTTCTGAATACATGGAACAACAAAGACTTTTATCTTAGATCCACCAGGAGCAAAAGCTCCAGCASAATGTACTACCCTGCTTCAAATGCACCCCATCATTTTGGCCCAACTATAACAAATCTGAGCTGCCCTTCAGTGTCATCCTCACAGCAAGGCTCAAACAGAAATTCTGCAAGAAAATACGGATTTCTATTCATTTGCAAACTCAGCTCCTCAAGGCAGCCAATTTAAATATTCAGCCAATTCAYTGGTGTATCATTTGCTTTATACACAAAACATAAAAATCCCTAAGAGTTCCCATCAAATCCTGGTGTAGTAAAGATTTTTCTAATTAAAAAATAATCATTTGAACCATCAGAAATTTCTATGATGCATTTACATGAAAGTTCTTCTCCTTAAAAAGCAGCTCCAATTAACACAGCTCTGTGTTTTAAACCACTTTTTCTAAAAATAGAGAGCAAGTCTCAGGAGCTGGAGGAAAGAGTAGGTATACGACATCTGAGAACGCTCACTCAAACCCATTTTGCATAGTTTCTAATCAATATTAGCTTTTTTCACTTGGTGTGAACAAGCTTTGAAGATTCCAGATCCGGCGCTCAGTGAGCAAGTATCCATTTAAGAACAGAATCAAAAGGTCTGGCACCTTCTCTGCTGAACACAGAGTAGCAAAGCAACCCAGCAGCTGTGGCTCCAGCTTCCTCTCAGGCTGGGGGGTAAGGAACCTTCAACAAAATCAGAGAAACTTGTGCTAGCACCACCCCACTAAACCAGTCCTTACCCATGATTTGCATCAAACAAAKCATGGAATCACTGTTTGATGCCTATTAAGCAAGGATATTAAAAAAACTCTAAATCTCTGGCAATTTATCAGGCTCTAATTTTTGGCCTAGACTAGTACCATGCCCATAAACACAATCTCTGGCATGGGAAGCATTGAGGGTTTTCACAGCCAAGACAGTCTTGARTACAGAGGGGCTTCCCCAGTGCTTTCTTGGGAACATGGGGAACAGCCGTGAAGGCAAAAATTCAGACACCATCTCCAGAACTACCACACATTATCCATGCCTGCAACAACTTAACAAGTATCCAGCCCCTGCATTCAGTATTGTGAGTAGCTATTTACTTCTCATTGAGGTTCACTTTGACTGAAGAAGCTGAAGGTGCAAAAGATGATTTCTGTGCAGCAGGGGCTGTGGTGAGTGATGGCCCAGACGAGCTGTCTGCAGCTGGTTTAAAGTTCATGGATCCAAAAGAAAAGGAGGTGGCAGCAGCTGTTGTAGTGGTGGCTACAGAAGCAGGAGTCATGGATGCCTTGGAAGAAGCAGAGGAGAAGGAGAACGTTGCTGCTCCAGTCAGAGCAGGAGTCTGGGCTTGCTGGGAGGCATTGCTGGCAAAGGAATATGGTGGGGGATCACCGCCCGTGGAAACAGGAATCTTCACAGCTGAAGGCATGAAGGAAAAAGCAGCTGCTCCACTCCCTGCTGGAGGCTGACTGGAGGTGGGCACAGTGGGAGCAACAGCCGGTACTGTGTCAGGCTTTAGAGAAGTTGGAGGAGTGGTTGGAGTTGTGGCAGCACTTCCTGCAGAAAGACAAATGGGAAAGGAGGGGGCTCATTTGACACTGACAAGTGACACGAGATACTGCAAGGCCAAATCTGTTTGATGGGGACAGCTCAGCACTGCTGCTCTCACTGGACAGTGAGGAAGAGAAATGGCAAAGCTGGGTTTGCAGTCCCCARCCCAGCAAGTGATACAGAAACGGTACAAAGTCATGATCAATACAACAATCTGTCCAGATTAATGTTGTCTGCAGTTTGCTGTGAAAAAGCTTCACCTTCCTCCATTGATTTTGATGAGGTTCCTGCCATCTCAAATAAAACAGGCAGTCAGCACATAAGTTAGCCAGCACTGCAGGGAGGCAGGCTGCCAAACAACAGCATTCTGGCTCAGGAAGGAGAAGGAAATTTGGGCACAGGGAAGAAAATGGTGCATTTGCAATTACTCCTCCATGCATGCAGACAAGCAAAACAATCATCTTATCTGCCTATATCACACTACACAGGGCTAAACATCTATAACTCAACCAAAACTACTCCTCTTCATCTGCTGACGTAATTTTCATAGTGCTGCAGAAAGCTTTAAATAGGATTTTATTTAATAGGATTTTGCTGCAGCCAAACACCTTAGYTCATAKGACCTYCTATGGCAAAWCTATGGARGAAAACCATCACCTCTCAGAATKGTGCAGGCCATACTCAAAGMTGGGCAAAGAGCCTCYTAAAAGTGCTTTRGTCCTGTTCTCCAAAGGCTGATTGYACAGGAGAGTYCAAATGCACAGCCTGCAAAGTGCTTGAGAKYCCACAAACAGGTTYAAAGRTCAGACTYGATGATYYTAGAGGTCTTTTCCAAACTAAATGGTTCTGTGACCAGGACTAGATAATTTCACACTGATGCACAAAAGACAGTCCTGGGAGCTCAAAACACCCAAGAACTCCTCCTCATTATCATTATAAAACAAAAAAAAAATGTTTTCTGTGTTTTCTGTGACCACATATGTGTCTGACTGCTGAACTGACAGATCAGTGTGACAGAGATCCACAAATCCAAACCCACTGGAGCACTTACCTGCTGCCTTTGGAACTCTCTCCCCSACCAACTGCAGCGGCTCCGGGGTCACAATAAGTGACTTGACCCCTGGGTTTTGGTTGATCATGTAAAATGGGCAGAGCACACCATCCGTGGAGAGCAGGATCAGAACTGGAGCTGGAGGAAGGATCTTCTCATCACCTGCCAGAGACCACACATGTAAGTCCTGCAGTCAAAGCTTCCTATTCTGCTCCTACTGGAATTGCCACCTTCATGTGATTTTCCTCGCACAGTATTTCCCACATTTCTCCCTTCTTGCTTYCATTTGCATCTTTGTTCCCTTGCTTCTCTATCAATGCTCAGCTCTCTTTCTTTCTCCTTTTGTATTCCTTTCTGTTCCTGACTTCAYGTTTCATAAAAGGCTTATTTTGACAATCAAATGTCATCTCCTGAATGACAAAGCCCAACCTTCACCCATGAATTCCTGTGCCAAGCTTGTTCAGATTTGAAGCTGCTACTCTGCTCCCTCCTTCAATTCCTTTCAGCAGTCCCCACATTCTATTGGGTCTTGTCACCTCATTAACATTCATGTGTATAAAGTACAAAACAGAATTGCTACATGGGAACCTTTTAACTTTAAAGAAAGCCAACATCAAACAAATATCCTCATGATCTGAATCACTGATATAAAATACTTGTCTTTTATGCAGCTGCTTTGTGAGTCTGCTTCAGTACAAAAATTTCAGCACTGTTAAAAGCCACAGAACATTCCCTATATTCCTCAAAAAAAATCAATAATGGTTTAATTGTGCTTAATTAAAAAAACAAAAAGAAAAAAAATCACCAAAAAAACAATCAAACAAATCAAGAATGCAGAAAAAATCTGCTATAATCATGGTGCCTTGTTTGTCAAGCAGTGCAGTGGATGGCCATGTTTCTCTGTCTGTCGGGTCTGCTAGGGAAGGGCAGTTTCTACATGGGAACAAGATCCAGGACAAAATCAGGTTTTCTTTGCAACCTAAACTTGCTGTGAACTGCAAAGCCAATTAATGAGCAGCCAAACCCTTGTGTCAAAACAAAGAGAATGTGTTAGCAAAATGCTTCTCCAAAAAATCTTTCTAAAAACACTGAGGCAGCAYAAAACAGGCTTTAAAAAATCTGTCCTGACAGATTCCTTAATCCAGTAACTGTATAGATTAACAGAGAAAAAGGCTTCAAATTCAATTTGGCATACAAGTACAAAGTTTGACCTCAATTCCCTACTRTAGGTTTTCTTTCAGGTAAAGTTAACTGGCACCCTCCTGTGCTCTTCAGGAACTCCTGACTGCAGTACCTTCCACTCTGCCTGAAGGCATCTCTGTTTCAATCTGTCTCTGGGCTTCAAGGAAGAGCTCTCAGAATTCACTAAGATACAACACAATAGCTCAGATGTAGCTTCAGCCTTTGACAAGGTACTTTGAAGAGCCTTCAGGCAGCACAGAAGGTACAGCAATAATGCAGCTGAGAAGATGTAGAGCACAGCAGGGTTTAGGCAGTACAGACCCTGTGCTTTAATGCAGAATTAAAACCTACACATTCACATCAGCGATCTTTGGTGTTTCTGGTTTTGAAACCAACCCAGTTTTCCTTTAGATCTGAGCAAGTGTACCTGATACTAAACAGTTCTGCAAAAGGACATAAGTGACAAGAATAAAGAACACCTCAGAGGCAGCCTAAAATCCCCAGTGTCAGAACATGRCTCCTTTAAACTCACTAGAATCCCAGTTCTGGGGAACAGAGATGTAACTCAGGAGCTTTGTTTGCCATGTCTGTTGRTGTAGTACCCTAGGATGCTGAAAGCTCCAAGAAAGAACTGTATTGAACACTGCCACTGAATCCTTACACAGAAGTAAGGCCACRTGCTGTGAGTTTGGTGTAAAAACAGCAGGAGGTGTGTTGATCTCCTTTTCAGAAAGATCTCCCAGAACTCTGAGCACCAAGTTGCCCCTCAAAAATATCAAATATACTGAGATTTTTGGACTACTCAACAAGAAAGACTAACAAGACTTACTGATCACAATGGGCATGTTACTGGTGTAGTCTACAGCAACACCAACAGGCAGTGTGTCATCACTTTTATCTGTCACAGGAAGTTCTGCTCTGCTGGAGTCCTCCAAAACCCACAATTCCCAATTCTGCAAAAAGTAAAATTATTATTACATTGACTACTGCTTTCCTGTAATCAGCCTTCTTCAGCATTCCAGTCTACAACAGTTGAAACACCAACTAGAGAGTATCTATTTAAATTTGTCAGATTAACAAATGCTAGAAAGACCACAGGTCTTCACAGATTTGTGTGTGCCTTCTCATTTATAATTGCATGTCAGAACTCAGACATTTTTAATGCTTAACTTCAACTAACGACCTCACATCAATCACTTTATTATACTGAGTTTGAGATTTTGAAACTGCCAAGTGAATAATGAAAAACAGACTTCTGGTACTTGGTTCAGAAGACATATCTCTTGTTCATCTAAGAATTATTTTAAGATTCTGTACAATTTAGAAGCTTAATTAGTTTTGGGATGTCTGAAAAAATTCATCATCTCATTGTACTCCAGGTCTTATACAGGCTATACTTAGATTTTGGGGGAAGAGTGTGTACATTTGCACAAATATAACCCTAAATATATTCCACAAATGAAATAAAAACATTACCTGGTCCCCTTGCCTGGAAAGAATGCTGACTTCTGTGGAAGCTGCTGAAGCTGCCAGAACCAGATCCCTGTAAGCATAGACACAAACAGGTTAAAACTTAACGTGACAGTCCACTGCAAGGTCCACAAAAAGGAGGAACACAGTCTACGAAGCACACTCAGACATGCATACCCAGGGAAAGGCCTTGCCACAATTCCTGCCACTCACCAATCCTCCACAAAATTGAGGAAGTAATGATGCTGTCTCTCAGTGCAGCTCGTATAGCACGGCTCCATGAAATTCACAAACTTCTCTGGTCGCTTTTCTTCCTTTTTCTGTAAGGCCAAACATTGATAATTTATCGTTCAATGCACAAAGCAATTAATCTCTCAGAAATTTTTCAGCATCAGGATACAATGATCTCAGCAGAGAACATTGACATATTGATTTTCAGGGGGGTTCTACTTCCTCACTCAATGCCCCCAACCTCCAACCTATGATTTACACCAGTATCAAACTTGAATTCCACTTGATGCCAATATCAATAATAAAAGCAACTTGTCATTGTAATAAACAAATCAGGAACAAGCAACAAATGCTTGTGAAGTTGTGATTGTTGGCACTTACAGGCAATATGGCTATGACCACTTGTGGAGACATTTCCAGTGTCCCATCAGCCTCTGCATACACGATGCTGAAAACRTATGTGCCAATCCACAGTACATCCAAAACTGAAAGAAAAAGCAAATACCTCAGCCAGGAACTTTATAATAATACCTCCTTGCTGGTTTTAACTGTGCACAGCACACTAAAGGAAATGACAAACAAATGGCAACTAACTCCTAAACTACCAGGCTTAGGAATCACAAGAAAAATATACTGTAATTACATAACCAGTGCTAAACAGGTACTAYAACTAAAGACAACAGGAGGGAAGAWSGAGTAAAATACTTTAAAAGAGAAAGCAAGTTAAAAAGTAATAAAAAGATGTACCTTTAACRGGGTTGTCTGAGTCATAAAAGGGAGGACAAGGGATTACTTTCTTCTCCTGAAGATTCTGCAAATAAAACAACTCTTAAATACACAGATAAGGCAACAAACAACTGCAAGTTTTGTGGAAAGCCCAGAGAAATGGTTTAGAGCAAGTCACCCACTCTTTAACACTCATCATGGGCCACTCTGAAATCATGACTTTTCAGCGACCTGTGCAAACCTTAAACTAAACYAAATATTGACCTAAGACACTTGAATATTAATGAAGTGCTTGTGCCAYATAACAAAATTCTGTAGTTTGTGATATAAAAATCAACCAACCAAATGAAAAAAACCCCAAACCAAAATCATATATCATATCTCAAACTACAGAAGAGACGCAAGGCCTTAACACCAGCAATACTTACAGGCAGATACTGCACCAC